TTGCTTCAAAATTAGAAGCATATTATTGTCTAAAGTATCCTTGTATGCTGAATCATCAGTGAGTTCCGTCATTGAAACTAAGAGGCCGTTCACCAAACATCAAAAAGCAAATGTAAATTCATATAAATTAATTTGAATATAATAATATAATTTAAATTAGAGCGATCTTTTATTTTCTGGCAGCTCTGAGATCATTTCATGTTCTTCCTCTTTCTGTTTTTCCTTTCTTTCTCTTTCTCCTCTTCCTCTCACAGAGCAGTATAGAGGACAAGAATGATGACAAGTCAGTCACAACCACGTTCGGAGTCAACAGACCCACTATTTCCTGTTTCTTTGACCGTAAGACAACGCACACAACTTTGCTCACTTCTACTCTTTCTCCACCTCTCTCTGTTTTCCTTTGACCTCTTATTTTCCCAAAATGATGCCATGTGTCTGTGTGCTGTAGGTGGCACCTGTTACCACTTGCGCTGCTACCTGTACCAAGCCAGAGAACTGTTGGCCATGGACAAAGACAGCTTCTCAGGTAGTGACTTATTTAAAATGATTTGATCCGTTTTCCATCATGTTGCGTATCAATACTGCTGCTGAGAACTTGCACCGTCTGGGGGCTGGGAAGTTCTGTATGTGAAAAACCAGCATGTGAAACAGTGAAAGAGACAGAAGGGAGGCAGCCACAGAAACATTGCTTAGTAACACAGAACATCCTTTTTGCTGATTAGGTTTTTACTTTCACTGGTTTCATTTTAGGCCTTTCTCTCACATGAAACATGATCTGCTTTTGTTAAATTCATTTCATCTTACTGATTTAAAAGGTTTTCAGACCTTCTCATGCACACTGCATACTCCTTCCACATCAGAAAAATCCGACCAAAGCAGTCAAGTCCCCATGGTGTATTTTTAGGTATGCATGTTTATTCATCTTGTGAGTTAGATTTTTTGGAGAACTCAGCCCCCGACCACAACACTGCTGTAGGAGTCTCGATCGGTGGAGCTACGTTACAAGAATAACTTTGTGTGAGATGTGATGATTAACCAAGATTACCTTCACTTAGAAAATACAGAGCAGTGTCTTTAAACACAGGCACTGAGGCAGAACCTATGGAAAATAACTAGAAAGTGCTGAGCTTTGATATTGAGCACATTCCAAATAAGAGTTGTGTTTTTATAAAGTTAGAGAAAGAGACAGGGAGAGCAGCCGGCGTGGGGTGTGTCCATTTATTTAATGCAAATCCCCATAATAGCATTTAAAATAATCATTTAATTCTAAAAGAGCTCAGATTATAATTTAAAATTTGATGTTAGGAGAGAAATAGGGGGAGCAAAGTCTTAGAAACAGTGATACAGAGAGAGGGCACAAAAAAAAGTTGTTTTATTGTAAGAGCTCATGGAAACTACGGCTCCTGTGTGTGTTCATCAGAAACCCACCACAGACGCAGATGTAAAAACACATTCAAAGCTTGAAAAAAACAGAGGGAGAGAAATGATAGATGTTGGAGATACTGGTGGAGGGAGGTTGTTTAAAGAGAAGGTTTGAGAGAAAGAGCGCGAGCGCATCCTGGCCACAACCTGAAATGATAAATCACTACCATTCTTCTCCTTCATTCGCCCTCATTAGCTCGCTTGCACGCACACAGGGCAACGGATGAGTACAGTTGATGGATGAGCCTCGGTTTTGTATTAATATGGTGTTAAATGGCGTCTTGGCGGCCATGATTAAAGACTGAGTCAGCTATCAAAGACTGGGGTCTTTCTTTCTGTCCCTCTTTATTTTCCATCTTTCTGTCTGTCCCCTCATGTGTCAGTCTTTCTTTCTGTCTTTACTTTAGGTGATGATCTAAATTCCCACATAAAAGTAGAGATCCCTCTCCTCTTCACTCTTCTCTTTCACCTCTTTCTCTCTTCCTCTCTTAATCCTTCAGTTTCTCTCCCCTTCTTTCCATCTCCCCTTGTTCTCACCCTTTTTCCTCCATCTCTTTGCCTTCCATGTGCTTTTCTCTCTCCCTCTGTCTTCACTGTGTTTATGTACCCCTGTGGCTTCCTACACACACATACTGTACAGGCACACCACCCATGGTGACCCATTCAATTAGTGGCCATTCCCAGTAGCCCATTAGCTCACATAAACAGCAATACAAACAGCCCAAGGGGGGGGTTAGGGTATA